TCATACAACCCAGAGCTTAAGTATGGCTTACTTTTTATTGCTGCACTCAGCAATATTCCATCTTTAGGGCGGCGGTCTGTAAATACTCGTGTGTGGACAATCCAGTGGTGGACATCGTGAGTATCGTTGTAGGCAACTGGAATACGATAATACGCATCAACCAAGTCAGAGAGCCTCACCATCCGTTAGTCGCCTCTTGCAAGCAAGGGTCGCTGAAGACCAATTTTAACCCGGATGTTGAAGTTGTGACCCTACATGAGCTGTTTCTCTTATTGATCTTTAGAAGCTTTCCTCTCCTATAAACAAACAGGAAACAGGGTAATTGTTCATATTGTTTAGTTGACTCTAAGGGACCTAGAACCTTGGGCTGGTCACAGTGACCACGTTGTGGATGTCTGTATATGACCATTACAAAAACAGATTCCTAATGTATCGTGTATCACTTCGTTCCGAAAATCTAAGACAACACAGAATGGTAATGGAAATTCTATGGTGCATCAATACTATAAGTCCTTTCCTTCATATTCCATGTCGTCAAATTGCCCATGTTCCTTTTATTCTTGTCATTAGACACTGGCTTATATATCATGTAAGAATTAGCTGAATAATTCAGAAAGAAGGGTGACTCACAGTGCAATAACTATAACCCTTGGGCAAGGCGCCATGGTGGTTGAAAATCAATTACAGTCAACGTTTTACCTATAAAAGAATGCAGAAAACGAACGCTTATGTCGGATGTGGCCGGTGCAAGGTCGCGGATGCCTGACATAACTCCTGGAGCACTTGATCGAACTTGTAATGTTGCAAACAGCAGGTCAAGGTTAACGTTTTTCAGCCGTTTGGCTGCCGTGAAACTTGCTGAGAGAACTTGAAAACTGTTTGTTCTCTTTCAACAATACTGACGGGGTAAACAGTTTAACATTTAATCCACCAATATGTGCCCAGCTTCAATTTACGCGTGGTCAGATCCCTCATCTGATGTTGGTGAGCGTGAGTTGATCTCCTCGTGTCCACTGCTGACCACTCTCCCCCCACCCCACCCTTCAGCATACTGTGTGGGCAGATTGTGATGTCAGTAAACAGTGATACAGATGTACCGTACTGAACGTTGTACCAATGACGTATACATGGAGACGTTCTATATGTCATGTTTGATCATTTAACTTTGACAGAAAGCATATGGCAATATAGCATGGACATGTTTGTAATTGTTTGAATCTTTCAAATGCATTATTTACATGTTTGATTAATCCCCATATATTTGAACTGTGATTGAAAGTTAATGTCTTATTTGTTGTTTCACTTGATGATGATTAGGGTCGTTATATACACACAATAGATGATGATTAGGGTCGTTATATACACACAATAGATGATGATTAGGGTCGTTATATACACACAATAGATGATGATTAGGGTCGTTATATACACACAATAGATGGTGATTAGGGTCGTTATATACACACAATAGATGATGATTAGGGTCGTTATATACACACAATAGATGATGATTAGGGTCGTTTTATACACACAATAGATGATGATTAGGGTCGTTATATACACACAATAGATGATGATTAGGGTCGTTATATACACACAATAGATGATGATTAGGGTCGTTATATACACACAATAGATATGACACTTCGTGGACACAACTAAGCTAACAATGACAAACATGTGTTAGTTAAATACCGATGAATTGTCCTTGATATTTATAGAAAAATAGAAATAGATCGTTCATGCATAAAAACATGTGTTCAGTGTGAGAGTTATTTTTCTTAACCCTACAGTGAGAGTTTAAGGCCGAGAATGAAACTGGTTATTATCGGGATTTCTTGAAAGTCCCTCATAAGATGTTTCTGTCTATTTTGTTATACACTGTGATCCCTTAATGCTTGTAGACCCCCTCTAAGTGCCGTTCAAACACGCGTTAATTCCCAACATTCCTACGAGATGATCTGCATCTTCCTTGACGTCATGAATGTGACGAGGCGGCGGCAGCCCCGTCAGTGACTCACAGTGTCTCACATATCTGTATGTGCTCTAGTGTACTTTCCTCTTAGCTGCTGTGTTTGTGACCACGTGAGTCACAGCTTACCCCCAACGTCGTCAACAGCTGCCCCGGCTCGACATATCAGCTGCATGTAGGTAGCATGTTGATAGCGTGCTGGTAGCACAGGAGACACGCAGACCAACACGCCCAGCTATCTCACACAGCACCTCGGCCATCTCACACGAAACTGATAAATTCCCCCGAACGAGAAACAATGCATTTTTCACAGAATCGCTACCTGTCAAAGTGTTATTCAATAATGGAATTGTGTTGTCATTCCACCTCAACATTGCAATGAGTATCAAACTCTCGTTGTTGGCATGTATTGTAGCAAGTTGGGGAATATCACACCTGTTAGCTGGTGGACATTCAGTGGAACAATACAGTCGCTGGTTAATACTCTTAATGTTATACATTACATAATACACTTGACTATCATTTCTACATTCTAAAAATGGTACACGTGATTTGTTTTTGCTCTTTTGCAGTACATTATGATTATCAACACGACACAAGAAATATGTATTTTAAGAAACTCCATTAAACTTTGTAATTAAAATGTGTATGTGTGCAGACTTGGTCTCGGTGCAATATGGCTGAAAGAATGCCGATGCGACGAACATTTTTAACTCATCTTTTAATTCATCTTTCTCATCACAAGCATGTGAACTCACCTTGTGCATCTTGTGAGGGAAATGATCTTTTCAAGAATCTATGTTTTCATTTTTAATTACAACACACGGTGTGAACGAATGGATGGAACTGTAATTTGACGTTGATAATCGATTCTGGTTCTTGATAATGACAGCACTTCACGTGGACATGTGGTTTCTAAAACAGTGAGCTTCCCCCCGTATTTTAAGAACCGTGTGCGACCTGCTGTCTGGTAGAGAGGAATGTTGTACTGGTTGGAATCCCGGCATGCCCCGGGGTCTACGTCACCACTGCTCGCTAAGACAAACTGTCATTAAAGAGATTTTGTCTGTCTTGAAATAGCGCTTTGAAAGAACATGTTTAGTTGTTAAACACACCGACTGATGCATTTAGTTTCTACTGACAATAGACGTACAGGTAACACTGTACCTGATGCCTCGTGCTTACTTCACTTTCCAAGTCTGAGTATATATTGGTGTTTCTTCCAACTTTAAAATAAGTGTCTACATCTTTGTAAACAACTGAAAACAAGAGTTCGCGTTCTGTTTAAATACAATTGGTTTAAAGGTGAAGTAATTCACTGAAAATTCACTGAATTACTCCGTGTTATAAACTCTAGCACGAGTGCAAAGTTGTGTGTGCTTTGGGGTGAGTTTGTAACCTGTCGGATTATCGGGCGGCACTTTGACCATGTTCTATTGGTGGGTTAACAGATGCGTATGTTCACGATTCATGTGTCGTGTACAGGAACAGTAGACATCCAAGCAAGTTCACTCTTCTGTGTGAAATATCTAGACCGAACTAACAGTCATGGTTTGGTCGGGACTAAGATACAAATAAGTCGAGCTGACACACCAGTCTAACAGTGCTGTAGGAGATACCCGTGTGTTTCATGTGCATTTTACAGAATTACTGTGTTTTACGATGTTATAGATAACAAGTGACGCCCCTCACCCTACCTACACAACAAGTGACGCCCCTCACCCTACCTACATAACAAGTGACGCCCCTCACCCTACCTACACAACAAGTGACGCCCCTCACCCTATCTACATAACAAGTGACGACCCTCACCCTACCTACATAACAAGTGACGACCCTCACCCTACCTACATAACAAGTGACGACCCTCACTCTACCTACATAACAAGTGACGCCCCTCACCCTACCTACGTAACAAGTGACGCCCCTCGCTCTACCTACATAACAAGTGACGACCCTCACCCTACCTACATAACAAGTGACGACCCTCACCCTACCTACATAACAAGTGACGACCCTCACCCTACCTACATAACAAGTGACGACCCTCACCCTACCTACATAACAAGTGACGACCCTCACCCTACCTACATAACAAGTGACGACCCTCACCCTACCTACATAACAAGTGACGACCCTCACCCTACCTACATAACAAGTGACGCCCCTCTACCTACCTAACACAAGTGACGACCCTCACCCTACCTACATAACAAGTGACGACCCTCACCCTAATATGATAATCACCTACATAACAAGTGACGACCCTCACTCTACCTACATAACAAGTGACGCCCCACCCCTACCTACATAACAAGTGACGCCCCTCACTCTACCTACATAACAAGTGACGACCCTCACCCTACCTACATAACAAGTGACACCCCTCACTCTACCTACATAACAAGTCACGCCCCACCCCCTACCTACATAACAAGTGACGCCCCTCACCCTACCTACATAATAAGTGACGACCCTCACCCTACCTACATAACAAGTGACGACCCTCACTCTACCTACATAACAAGTGACGCCCCACCCCCTACCTACATAACAAGTGACGCCCCTCACCCTACCTACATAACAAGTGACGACCCTCACCCTACCTACATAACAAGTGACGCCCCTCACTCTACCTACATAACAAGTGACGCCCCACCCCCTACCTACATAACAAGTGACGCCCCTCACCCTACCTACATAACAAGTGACGCCCCTCATTCTACCTACATAACAAGTGAGGCCCCTCACCCTACCTACATAACAAGTGACGCCCCTAACCCTACCTACATAACAAGTGACGACCTCACCCTACCTACATAACAAGTGACCCTACCTACGACCCTCACTCTACCTACATAACAAGTGACGCCCCTCACTCTACCTACATAACAAGTGACGACCCTACCTACATAACAAGTCACGACCCTACCTACATAACAAGTGACGCCCCTCACCCTACCTACATAACAAGTGACGCCCCTCACCCTACCTACCTACACTCCACCTACACACTGTTGTGTTTCAGATGGCTTCTCCAGCACTCCAATGTCCCCCTTCTGGCCAAGAACGCCCGGGGGGAGACGTGTCTGCATGTGGCAGCCCTACAGGGACATCTCAAGTGTATGCAGACCATCATTGTGTGCAAGAAGGAGAAACCAAGTATTGCCGTCTCTGAGCGCGATAACCTCGGCATGACGGGGCTCCACCACGCCACCATCGGCAACAGGGAACGTCTTGTACACTGGCTGGTTCAGGAGTTCGGGAAGGACCTGTGTCTGGTCAAATCTTGTGACGGCGTCCTCGCCATACATCTCGCAGCTGCTGCAGGTGCGACAGCAACGCCTCAACGGTCATTTGTTATACATACGTCCATACATCACCTTACATATTCAATCACAATAGGGTATAGCAATTGGCAGCATTATATCATTAATGATCCTCTAACGAGTACAAATATAATAGTCTGACAATGTGAAATGTTTCATTTGAAAGCCATCATATCTTGTAAAAGCAATCATATTAAATAACGCGGCATGGCATTAGAAGTGATAGGTGATCGATGACCACGAAGGTGGTGTAGGCACTGGCAACTCGAGGTGGGAGAACGAGATAGGAGTGGAAGCCCCTCATGTGCTTGTTGATCTAGTTTCTGCATTTTTAATTATGTTGTTGGACCTGAGTCTGTTACTGGGTCTATTTTCGGTCTATCCATTATTTCTATCAGTTCAAGTTTGTACATTTTGTGTGGGGACCGTGAGATTAATATTTCTAATCCAGGTTCAAGTTCAAGAGTACAATGTAAACATTGTTATGATAATATTTTCTCCTTCAAGTTGAAGTTTGTGAGGTGTGTTTGTGGGTCGTGGCGTTGATCAAGCGCCATCACTCTATATATAGATCGCCAATCAGCAGGTATGAAAAACAACCCACATCATCAACACGTAACATTGTGCACCCAGGATAAACAACCACATACAAAACAACCAAGGACAATTAACCACTACTTTCTTCTACTACATTGTTTATCGTGCTGAATGTGTAGAGTTTATTTGCAGGCAACAGACAATGCACACAACTTCTGGCAGAAGCATGCAAGGGATCCGTGAACATGACCGATGTTTTCGGTGAGTGTAGCTGTGTTGAAGGGAGGGGCCACTATGTATGAACATGACCGATGTTTTCGGTGAGTGTAGCTGTGTTGAAGGGAGGGGTCACTATGTATGAACATAGCCGTCTACGGGATACATGACTGGGACTGTAGAATAATGCCATGCACTCAGTGATGTACATGACGTATGGAGAAATACAGACCTGGTGTATTTGAAATGACATTGATGTTTACCTGCAGTCGGGCGCCACTACAGAAAACCTGCATGCATAAATATTAGCAATACTTTCTTGTTGTCCAGTCATGACATTCTCTATTTGACGATGCATACTGAAATGTTTGATGTGTCCTTAATTTTAGAATTGCGATAGCAAGATGGCGCAATATCTAGCGAGCTTACCTTTCCTCACAAACCAGCATTATAGTTTACACCCGGTGTCTGTTGGCTTACACAACATCCCAAAATCTAGTACTCTCATATCTCTTTAAGGGAGAGGTGATTTTGTTTTTACTAACTTAAAAGATGTTAGAATATAGAAATCTTAAAACATCTTCATCAACATGTGAAATAAATACAAAGGTGCGTGAAGCACTGTTGACACAGAGGAGAACAACCTGTCAGTGTCACTGAGCTCGTGACAGGCAAACTGTTCCGTCCCCACTGTTCCGTGAGTGCTTCCACTCTGCTAGAGGACAACAGAAGAGAAGAAATGGTTGCTAGTGATGAGCTGCTGTCGTCTAGTTCCTCTTGCAGAATGGTTACATTACGTCGTTGCATTAAAACATGACAATAATAGCATCAAGGAAAACCAAGTTCTGTGGGTAGTCATAGAGGAGTCATGAGGAGTCTGCCACGTGATGATTACCTAAAACACACTTGGTTTTGCTTCATCTTCTTAAATGCTTCTCAGACAAGTTAATAATAGCATTCACAAGACGTAATGTGATCAGCTGGCAGTAGTGTGAAGCTTCCATGGTAGTCACTGACGGCAATATTTATGTCATCTCTCAGGGGCAACCCCGGTCTTCTATGCAGCCCAGGAGGGGCACCTAGAATGTCTGCAATACCTGGTTGAACACATGGATGGATCTCTCAAAATTGTAGCTTTTGAGGGGATGACAGCGTTTCTGTCTGCTGCTGAAGGAGGCCATCTTCACGTGATGAACTACCTGCTGGAGAAGCAGGGTTCTGACGCTCTGCTGTCCACCACTAACGATGGCGCGACCGTCTTTCACTACGTGGCCAGTAAGTGATTCATTTCTTTCGTCTTGGGGATGCTGTATTGAGACGTGGAAGGGTTTCTAATTTACAATTTAAATGTGAAAAAGTATAGAGTAAGTTTAGCTCGATTCCAATGCTTTAATTGAGAAAGGTAGATATGTAAATATGAATAGAGAATATAGAACCTGCCAATTACATTACATTACATTGATATACATTAATATAGCGCTAATATCCAGTCTTAAGAAGACTGCTCAAGAGCACTGCTGAACTCCGTATGCAATGCTGAACAAATGAGTTTTTAATCTGGATTTGAATGTGCTGAACGTCTCTACTGATCGAACAGAGAGGGGTAATATGGTTCCACAAAGTTAGACCGACAAACTGAAAAGACCTGTCACCAGATGTCTTGGTCCGACTTACTACAGTCTGGCACAAGGTCTGAGAAGTAAACTGGTGCTGTGTTGTGCAAGGCTTTGAACATCAGTACCAATATTATGTAATTTAAATGCAATTGAAGACGAGTATCATTTTCTTCTTGTATGTCCTAACTACGATAATCTTCGTAGAAAGTATATAAAAGAAAAAAAATATGTCCATCCATACAAGCTTAAGTTTTCACTACTGCTAAACAGTTCAAATACTAAAGAAATTGAAAACCTGTCCATGTATATTTTCTAAGCATTTGTACATAAAAAGCATATTGTTTCATTTCAATATGTAAAACAAATGTATATGGTGTACTATAGACCCGGAATAAGACTGATAGATGAAATTAAAGGGCATTTATAATTCTGTATTAATATAAAATAATTGCATACATGCATTATATATTATAAGCTATTGTTCTGACTAGCTTTACTGCTAAAACTTCAGGAATATTCCACCATGTCAAGGGTGCCTGTCAATACTGCATTAAACTAACTAATGTGTAAATCCACAACACCTGGGTGCTATGACGGTAGACATCCAGGTGTAGCTTATAACCACACTGAAAGGTTAATATCTGGGTCACTCGCGTCAAATATTCAAAATAATATCTGCAGTACAGTCGAATGTGTTAGGTGACGTAGGGAAATCACTAGCTGTACATGTCTAGTAATTAATACAAAAGCCTCTATAGAAACAATGATAGACTTCAAATCGGATCACAAATTGCAGTACAAATGTCTAATTGTAACTGTCACTGTCACTCACTCCTTCACTCCAGGTACAGGCAACTTCCACATCCTGCAGTACCTCCTGGGGATTCCAAACATTGGGGACCTGCTCCGGGTCACTGATGCTTTCGACCGTAATCCTGCTCACGACGCCGCCGAGAACGGCTTCGTGGAGTGTCTACGTATGTTGGTGGAGGCGGGCATCAGTCTGTATCTGCCGGACAAGGTAAGCACAGCCTATCAGTCACACATACATGGTGACCAGGACTTTTCTGCCCACACCTTCCCTCACGTTCTGCCAATACTACAGTGAAAACCTCTGTGCACTTGAAGGATATTTTGCGTCGGTGAAAACCTCTATGCCTCTTTTGTTTGGAGAATGTCTTAATGTTACATTTAGTCTTCCGATTATATTTTCAGAATGTTTACTTTATGCATATCTCTAAGGAATGGTATTTGTTAAACGAGAGGCATCCTGCATACCCCAGTGTTTAAACCCCTACCATTACCGTCTCTGTCAGTCACCTGCACAGATGCTTGCAAATATACATGTCGTGCATCCCCACTCGGGTAACAGACCTAGATGACGGTTGACCAACAGCACCTTACAAGAATCTGTCCACGCTGCAACTAACGTACATGTATATAATATATATGTGACTAGCCCAGTGTACAGTGTTCGTTGCTGTCCCCAGGATGGCGAGACGCCCTTGTCCCTGGCAATGAGAAGTGGCAACCCAAAATGTGTACTCTTTGCCCGAGCCGTGGCCGACTCCACTATGGACATGGCGAGTCTCAAGATGCTCAAAAGTAAGTTCTAAAACATCCGTGTTTCTTTCATCAGAAATATACAAGTTGATTCTGGAATGTTCCCGTTGATGGGAATATCTGCCTCTCTCCCTGTAACCTCACATGACAAGTCGTAATTTGCGTCATTCAATAGTATTTACCAGGGAAACAGAGAGTGAGTGTGGTGTTTGGAAATGCTTCAGTCATTTCACCACGTGTTTAGTGACTTGAACGAGGGCCTAAAGCCGGATAGATATTCACAATACTGTGAGAAGCAGAGTCGACTGGTAAGTCTGGGTATATCATAATCGGGAGTTTATTTATCACGTTCAAATTGTGATGTGCCAGGTGTTGTACAAGCGTATCCTGGCGAACGGTGGCACTCCTCACAAATACGTGCAAAGGCAAGTCAGTTATTCACCTGAAGAAAAGAAACAACAAAAAGTCCAAAACCAAAAACAGACAAACAGTCACTTATTTGTCAAATGTCTACCAGCTTTACAGAGGTCTTGAATGGTGATTCAAACCACTGCCGAGCAAGTGTCGCATCACGGTATGAAATGTTGATAGAGAGGGCATGTTCACATGTACAAATTTTGTGAAATGTATGGAGGAAATAAAATCTGAGTGTATTTACTTAGCCCTGTTTGTTTCAATCGGTTTGATCAGCTAACGGGTAAGACATTGTGAAATAAACTCTTGGGTTGAATACAGGACACTTCTAAGATCTCTTGACACCCGGGTGCATCACGAATCTACGACACTCTCCTATGTGATGTAATACTGTCACAGATCGAGGATTCAGTTGTCCACACAGTCGGAATAAACAGTTGGCAATGTATGTATCAGCAGTTGTGAGAGGCGGACGTATGATCTACACAGAGAGGCGGACGTATAATCTACTCAGAGAGGCGGACGTATAATGAATATATTTATCGCCAGAGTCGCAGCGCTCGGCCACTGATGACGTGTTGGGGCAATAGACAGAGTATCGTATCAGTCAGTATTTTACGTTGTAGGTGAAGCGGCTGTAACAGTACGCTAGGGGCGACACACTCCCGCGAGACTCATGCGTCAGATAGGCAGTAGGCGATACCTAATACTGGAATTATATCCATACTCACAAGACACATACATATAGCACAGGGGGCCTTTTACCCAAAACAGTGTTGGAAAAAAACGATGCAATGAAATCATTTCTGTCCTATACAAATTCTTATTAAAGCAATATGGACGTTTTAGGGGCGGTTAGGAAATGTCTGTATTGTTGTTTTCAAAGTAAGTGTTCTATTTTGTATACCAGCATATGTAGAGAATATAAATGTAAATATTAATTGTGTTTGGTTTTCGTCTGGGCCATATCAGGCACAGATACGAGTAGGCTTGTCTATTGCAGGCATAAAAATGCCTACGAAATGAGAACCATACAAATACATCTACAGTGTAGTTTGTGTGGAACAAGTGAATAGAACGCAACTCCTTGGCGGGTTATTATGAGCTGTTATACATGGGGCTACTTAGAGGCATATTATTATAGACCTATATATACGGGGCTACTTATAGGCTTGTTATTATAGACCTATATATACGGGGCTACTTATAGGCATGTTGTTATAGACCTATATATACGGGGCTACTTATAGGTATGTTCTTATAGACCTATATATACGGGGCTACTTATAGGCATGTTGTTATAGACCTATATATACGGGGCTACTTATAGGCATGTTGTTATAGACCTATATATACGGGGCTACTTAAAGGCATATTATTATAGACCTCTATATAGTGGGCTACTTATAGGCATGTTATTATAGACCTATATATATGGGGCTACTTATAGGCATGTTGTTATAGACCTATATATATGGGGCTACTTATAGATATGTTATTATAGACCTATATATATGGGGCTACTTATAGGTATGTTATTATAGACCTCTATATACCGCGCTACTTAGAGGCACGTTGTTATAGGCCTATATATACGGGGCTACTTATAGGCATATTATTATAGACCTATATATATGGGGCTACTTATAGGCATGTTATTATAGACCTATATATACGGGGCTACTTATAGGCATGTTGTTATAGACCTATATATATGGGGCTACTTAGAGGCATGTTGTTATAGACCTATATATACGGGGCTACTTATAGACATGTTGTTATAGACCTATATGTACGGGGCTACTTATAGGCATGTTATTATAGACCTATATATAAGGGGCTACTTATAGGTATGTTATTATAGACCTCTATATACCGCGCTACTTAGAGGCATGTTATTATAGACCTATATATACGGGGTTACCTATAGGTATGTTCTTATAGACCTATATATACGGGGCTACTTAGAGGCATGTTGTTATAGACCTGTATATACGGGGCTACTTATAGACATGTTATTATAGACCTATATATACGGGGCTACTTATAGGCATGTCATTATAGACCTATATATATGGGGCTACTTATAGGCATGTTGTTATAGGCCTATATATACGGGGCTACTTAGAGGCATATTATTATAGACCTATATATATGGGGCTACTTATAGGCATGTTATTATAGACCTATATATACGGGGCTACTTACAGGCATGTTGTTATAGACCTATATATACGGGGCTACTTATAGGCATGTTGTTATAGACCTATGTATACGGGGCTACTTATAGGCATGTTATTATAGACCTATATATACGGGGCTACTTATAGGTATGTTATTATAGACCTCTATATACCGCGCTACTTAGAGGCATGTTGTTATAGACCTGTATATACGGGGCTACTTATAGGCATGTTATTATAGACCTATATATACGGGGCTACTTATAGGCATGTTATTATAGACCTATATATACGGGGCTACTTATAGGCATGTTGTTATAGGCCTATATATACGGGGCTACTTATAGGCATATTATTATAGACTTATATATATGGGGCTACTTAGAGGCATATTATTATAGACCTATATATTTGGGTTTACTTGTAGGCATGTTTGTATAGACCCATATATATGAGGTTACTTAGGGGCATGTTACCATAGACCTATAAAGATGGGGCTACTTAGAGGCATATTATTAAAGGCCTATATATACCGGGCTACTTATATGCATGTTATTATAGACCTCTATATAGTGGGCTACTTATAGGCATGTTATCATAGATCTATATATATGGGGCTACCTAGGGGCATGTTATTATAGATCTCTATATATGGGGCTACTGAAAGTTTATTAAATGAACATTGAAACTCTCATGAAAACGTGTGAAAATGCACTGTGCATTAGTTGGAGTCATTATAAACCTATATACACAGACCTACCTTAGAGCAGGTTATTATATACTTCTGTACATGGGGGTCATTATAAACCTATATACACAGACCTACCTTAGAGCAGGTTATTATATACTTCTGTACATGGGGGTCATTATAAACCTATATACACAGACCTACCTTAGAGCAGGTTATTATATACTTCTGTACATGGGGGTCATTATAAACCTATATACACAGACCTACCTTAGAGCAGGTTATTATATGCTTCTGTACATGGGGGTCATTATAAACCTATATACACGGACCTACCTTAGAGCAGGTTATTATATACTTTTGTACGTGGGGGTCATTATAAACCTCTATACACGGACCTACCTTAGAGCAGGTTATTATATACTTCTGTACGTGGGGGTCATTATAAACCTATATACACAGACCTACCTTAGAGCAGGTTATTATATATTTCTGTACGTGGGGGTCATTATAAACCTATATACACGGACCTACCTTAGAGCAGGCTATTATGTACCTCTATACATGTGGGCAGGTTGTCAGTCAACTGCAGTGTTATCTCCGAGTAGCTGCGACACGTGAGATATCTGCAGCTCAACAGACTCACAAGACGTGTTTACTAAAGACGCACGGTAAACACCAGAAGCTGGGGGATTCTTCACAGCGTCTGACGTCACAAGGGGATAAGAATGTTTGGTTCTGACCTGAGACGCCCGTCCCACCTCCTCCCGACCGCGTAACAAGCTGTAGACGATGTTGCCTCCTCCCTCAGGGTACAACAACGTGGCTTGCAGATCAAGGCGATATTTTTGAAAAGTTTTTGTTTCAGGTTTTGAGAATAAATATTTGACAAAAGAATTGTATTCTCAAAAACGAACGTTTGAACACATCACAGCGTTGATCTTAAGGTGTGGCTTCGTTGATAGACATTGCAACATCGACTGTTTGTGTCCTTGTTCTTGTACATGAACCAAGGATGTGCGTTTTACATAGTTCTACATGTGGAAATGGAAACAAGTAACTAAATATTCCACAAACACGTACATGCCGTATCTGCAGGCGAGGGTAAGCGCCACTGGTAATTGTGTACGAGCAGTAAAAATTCTAATGAGTCTTCTGATTAAACTGCTTCCGGTGGAAAAGTTATTGTTAGAAACATAGTTTTAGTCAATACAAACACAAATATAGCATATTCCTATAAACTTCAATATACTCTTAAAATTGCTCGTCATTACGATTTTGGTAGGAAATAAAATCTCAAAGGTAATTTCAACAGTGGAAACTGCTCGTCCAGCTTCTAGCATTCTGAAATTTGTCGCATTTGACCAAAGTTATCACCTCTGTGTAAAGAACAAAAGTAACAGTGGTAATGATATAAGTAAAAACATGTATTCATATTAGTATTGCGAAATACTGAAATTTTAATAATAAGTATGACGATAGTGGCGATATAATTGATAACAATATTCTCAACTTTGATGTGAAAGGTGTACATAAATACTCTACATTCATGAACGTATAAAGTTGTTACGTTTTAAGACTGAGATATAAGTATGTCCAGCAATTAGCCAGACGTGTCTTCTTTCTGTCAACAGTTGTCTGCATGTTCGTCTGCACATGTATGTAATGATCCATTGTTGAATGACACGCTGACATGCTGGAAGCTGTGAACGGCTCGTGTCTGCGTGAGCCTAACCCAGGTCGGGGGGTTATGGTGTGTAACGACTGAGCTTTAGGTAGTAAGCCGGCGATGAGAAGTATTTGTGTTCTGCAGATCATGTCTATATTACCCATGTAGGCATTATGCTGGACACAACTACATCAGCTGACACAGAATAACGACACACCCCTCATCGTGTTGAACGTCCCCAGGTGTTCTAATGGAGTGTTTATCCCCGGGCCTTCACGTCAAACACGCGGGAATTCCCCTGTAGTTCCACGAGGAATGACGTTACAACACATATGTTTGAAACAAACCCGTTCAGAAATATCAATGTTACTGAAAATGATATTTATTTGGGTTGGTTCTATTTTTTTATTTTAATCAGTTGACAATCTGTAGAGTGGAATGTTTGACAACACATAACTAAAATACTACGTGTGAATTTCTCCCCAGAGAAACTAGGCTCCAAGTTTAACCAGATCAGCGGCATAGTGACAGTGCAGGCGTTGTCCAGGGATGCTGCTATATGCTTCAAGAGGGACAGGAAGTCAAATACCGTGAGTACATGTGTGTTGACATACATACCGGGAGTCAACACATATTGTCTGTAGTTTAATCAGTCGACCTAAAACACGATACAATACAAACCTTGTACAGTGTTTATTATTTGGAAGCATATGTGTTTTGAACGTTCATACATTGTTGTCATATGACATGTACTAATGTTACATAAAGTAACTAGCCATGGTGGGATGACACAGTGAGACCATATAGTCACGTTGCTGTACTGTACAAAGTGGAGAATGAGGATACTTGTTATGGATATACAACTTCTTCATTCTGTGATAGGCGACGTTTCATATAGATTCTAATGTTGGCACTTGCTTGACAACGACATTAGAATCTATGTCGAAACGTCGCCTTTCGCAGAAGAAAGAAGTTGTATGTCCATAAAAAACATCATCATTCTTCATCCCCCCAACTTCTATATGTCAAACAAGGAAGTGTACAAAGTGGAGTTGTAAACTTAACACTTTGTTTCAATGTTGGCATAACACAGGGCATGCCTGGACATACCTATACATGAGTGCTCCTGTCCAGCCAGAGCTAGAAGGAAGATCTGAGGCGAATAGTGACAACCGTAAGGGGCAAGATTTGATTTACGCGAGAAATGAATGGCATATATATTCAATTTGTTGGGGTTTTTTGTGCTTACCTGTTACTTGATAAAAATTGACACTTTACATGACGAAGTGACGTTGTTAAATGAAGTTTATTACAGGTGAAATGTTGCGTTCCAGCCGTTTGTAACTCATGGGTGAAACAAGTGCACAGCACACACGATGTATAAGAAACCAATTATTTCATGAACAAATCGCTGCTTATTTCGTAATCGTTTTATTTCGAAATGGGAAATGCATGAAACGGATATAAGTTCTGTGAATGTGTATACACAGTCTGAACACAGTTGCGCTCTTTTAATAGGGTGATGAATATAGTTAAAGCTATTTTAATGGGGTGATGAATACAGTTAAAGCTATTTTAATGGGGTGAAGAATACAGTTAAAGCTGTTTTAATGGGGTGATGAATACAGTTAAAGCTATTTTAATGGGGTGATGAATACAGTTAAAGCTATTTTAATAGGGTGATGAATACAGTTAAAGCTGTTTTAATGGGTGATGAATACAGTTAAAGCTATTTTAATGGGGTGATGAATACAGTTAAAGCTGTTTTAATGGGGTGAAGAATACAGTTAAAGCTGTTTTAATGGGGTGATGAATACAGTTAAAGCTGTTTTAATGGGGTGATGAATACAGTTAAAGCTGTTTTAATGGGGTGATGAATACAGTTAAAGCTATTTTAATGGGGTGATGAATACAGTTAAAGCTGTTTTAATGGGGTGATGAATACAGTTAAAGCTGTTTTAATGGGGTGATGAATACAGTTAAAGCTGTTTTAATGGGGTGATGAATACAGTTAAAGCTATTTTAATGGGGTGATGAATACAGTTAAAGCTATTTTAATGGGGTGATGAATACAGTTAAAGCTGTTTTAATGGGGTGATGAATATAGTTAAAGCTATTTTAATGGGGTGGTGAATATAGTTAAAGCTGTTTTAATGGGGTGATGAATACAGTTAAAGCTGTTTTAATGGGGTGATGAATACAGTTAAAGCTGTTTTAATGGGGTGATGAATATAGTTAAAGCTGTTTTAATGGGGTGATGAATATAGTTAAAGCTATTTTAATGGGGTGATGAATACAGTTAAAGCTGTTTTAATGGGGTGATGAATACAGTTAAAGCTATTTTAATGGGGTGATGAATACAGTTAAAGCTGTTTTAATGGGGTGATGAATATATAGTTAAAGGTATTTTAATGGGGTGATGAATACAGTTAAAGCTGTTTTAATGGGGTGATGAATACAGTTAAAGCTGTTTTAATGGGGTGATGAATACAGTTAAAGCTGTTTTAATGGGGTGATGATGAATACAGTTAAATGCTTAAAGCCATTTTAATGGGGTGATGAATACAGTTAAAGCTATTTTAATTTTAATACAGGGGTGATGAATACAGTTAAAGCTATTTTAATGGGGTGATGAATACAGTTAAAGCTGTTTTAATGGGGTGATGAATACAGTTAAAGCTATTTTAATGGGGTGATGAATACAGTTAAAGCTATTTTAATGGGGTGATGAATACAGTTAAAGCTGTTTTAATGGGGTGATGAATATAGTTAAAGCTATTTTAATGGGGTGATGAATACAGTTAAAGCTGTTTTAATGGGGTGATGAATACAGTTAAAGCTGTTTTAATGGGGTGATGAATACAGTTAAAGCTGTTTTAATGGGGTGATGAATACAGTTAAAGCTATTTTAATGGGGTGATGAATACAGTTAAATCTGTTTTAATGGGGTGATGAATACAGTTAAAGCTAGTTTGTAAACATGTACCTCTGCAGTCGTTGGAGGTAAACACGGCATGGACGAGGTCTTGAACTCAGGTCAAATGCTATTTTCAAGACACGCTGAACACGCTGGAAATACATATGATGAGAGCATGCGAGATATTTCCAAGTCTGTCACAAGCAAGCGAAGTTTGCCACATTGTTCCCCGACACACTGGGGGTCAGATGGGGATAGCATCTCGGGTTTCCATCAGCTGAGAAGTACCTCAACGTCACTGATACATTCATTGATGTAACTTAAAGTCCCAATGAGAACCAATTGATGCTTAACGTGCGGGTTTTTACAACTTTCCTATAAAGCACGTCTTGAATAGATAGCTCTTCTTTCTGTATTCAAAATAGGGTTTATAAAAGTCAGTTCGACTAGAATTCTTGGAAAGGCGTTGGCAATAGAAAACATTTAAGCAGAAACACAAAGTCTAAATTTCAAGATGTTCTAATCCTTAAGCAAAGCTTAATTTCTTTGAAAGCAAATTGCATTTGGAAAAGTTTCAATAACGAGCAAGTCCCTCAATTTCTCCTCACGACAGTTATATTTGTACAGAAGGAGATGCAACATCAAGCATGTGTTCCTTGGTTTAATTATCAACCTGAGGGTTTTACCAAGTCCAATACATTTTCTTTTAACTGAAGTGACATTTGGCGCTGGCGCGGGGGCGATGTGTGCTCTGGACCAGGGCTGTTCTCTCTCTGCCTAACTATTAGGCAAATTACAAGACGGGCTTCTTTGGCATAGCTCATTAGTCTGGAACGCCTTGTATATCTGCAACTGATGTTATGCAATTGCTGGAAAGGTTTTGTAGTTAAACATTACGGGGCAGGGCGTTGTAGACAAGAGACGCCATCCGCTAATCGCAAACTACAGCACAGTGTTATATATTATATATGTTTGCTTCATCAAGGCAAACCCGCGTTGATTTTCAATATGTAATTTCTATTCATTTCCAGTTTGTAATCTGTATACGAAACATCCGTGAGAACTTAAAGGATAAGGAAATGTTCACCTCTGAAGGAAGTCCTTATAAAGTAGAGTTGATTCGTTCATTTTTATAAGATTTAATCGTCTTATTACGTATCACGTGTTGCCCAGAACATTGATGCACCGACTCCTGCTTAACACTTACTGTACTGATGGATAGACTATACCAATGTCCGGATCTACTTACTTAAATGTCGGATCATATGCGTAAGTAATGCATTGTATTTGTTCGTACTGAAACGTTCGACGCAGTATATGCTAATTATATACAGCGTAGAGTCTGTCAAAGAGTAGAGTAAATAATTTGTAACGCTGATGACAGCCATATCAGTACAGGACAGGGATTCACATAGTAGTTGTTACGTTATTTATTAGGTGGGGCGTTTTCGTATTCGTGGTGCGCTATTTAAAATATACTAGTTTAAAAGGAATTCAAGGACTACTGAAGTATTATTAAAATCCTTGTGAGCACTCACGCACGACCACACACAAGCGCTCACACATACACGATCACACATACACGATCACACACGCACGATCACACAAACACGATCAAACACACACGATCACACATACACGATCACACATGCACGATCACACATGCACGATCACACACACGATCACACATACACGATCACACATGCACGATCACACATACACGATCACACATACACGATCACACATACACGAAACACATGTTATCACGGAGTTGCTGCACCTCATGCCTCCCAAACGACCTAATTAGTGAGGAGTCCGATGTTGGCAGGTTGTCGTCTTCAGGAAACACGAGATGAGCTGTGATCAGATCGGCCAGTTTACACAGGAAGAAAGACAATTGCCGGCTTACTGCTGGGCGGACTATCCAGAGACTGCTGGGGACCCGGGTCCTCAGTAAACACACAACTGTCACTAGGATACCTCCCTCCTAGGGCCGCAACATGCATGGGGATGTCATACAATGTGCCACGGTTATCTTGATATGTAATGTACATACTCAGTGTCTTACCTCTGTTCTTTCATGAATCATGCAAGAATTCACAGACGAGCTCATACATCCAGATTAAATACAAATAGTAATGATAAAAAATATTGATCTTCAACCCACGAGTAAACTATGGTTTGCGTAATTGATTTTTCCAGAACATGAAATGGACTCCAGCCGCAAAACATCATGTATCGTCATGTTTTATCAGTTGAAAAATAGACTTCATGAAATTACTGCAGCTGTTTGATATACGGCTTTGAAACAATGCTCCCAGTGAAAACTATCACGTACTGCTAGAGATAGACATCCCACTTCATACTAGGTAGGTACGTTGCGAGGCCACCCGTCCCTTGTCCAACTAAAACTTTCAACTTGAGACAGGGGCCATACCCTAAACTGGTACCCCTGTGAGGTGGTTCTGTTTGTTAGGGATACCTCTGTGATAACGGTGTCCCAGTGAGTGGGTGCGGGTGTTGGGGTAGCCCTGTGATGGGGAAGGGGTCTTTAGGGGTACCCGTCTGATCGGGGGTGGGGTGTTAGGGGGTCTGGCCAAGTCTGCTAGTGACTTGATCCCCACATCCGTGTTTCCTGCTGCACCCCGGCTTCATGACCGTCTCCCCCTCTCGCTGACCCCCTGGCGGCTCAAGGGGTTGCGCCTTAGGCACACACAATGTCTTTCCATTGCACATATACTCTCATTTCCGGCATTGCGTCACGTGCCATTTTTCTCTGTCTTGTTTTTCATTAAGTATGGTAGTTAATTGAAGCCCTTGTACTATTGTCACAAAGTATGTTCACTAATATTTGTGCCTCAGTGGTTAGAGTTGAAATGATTAGTGACTGTATGACTAATAGGCAACTACATACTTATGTGTCGTGATTAACAGTTGGACGGATAATGTCATTGTTCGGGGTAAACTTATAACAAACAAGTTTGACATGGAAAAGGATTCATAATGTGAGTATAGGATTATGACACACTGAATTAATCATATTTTATTTTTCACTTTGATTGTCATCGTTATAATTTGAAATGACGTTAATAGGTTATGTTGACATTCTCACGCCAATAGCGGTATGATGACATGGCGACAACCTGTTATATGGTGTTGTTGATGAGGAGTTGGCCCTCTGATGAGACATGGTGGTCAGTGGCAATGTGTTCATTCCCGTTAATAGCATCATGGCCACAACTCCATCTTACCATGTCCGGTGAAAGGATTGGAAGAAGTACATGGGAAGATAGCATCTATTGTATAGTGACATGGACGCGAGGATGAGCGTTAATCTAGTAACAATGTCCTCTGAGATGGGCGTAGGCTACAACCACATCCGCTATCATAGCCACTGACCATCTGACCAGTCACCGGAAACGACCATCGGCATCAAACAACTTCATTGTCCTTGTCATAGAAACTGAAAGATAATAGCATATCATTAATGTGTCCTCCAGAATGTTGTTACTGTCTGTTATCACCTCGTGATTCAGACTAACCACCCTTTCAACTTTACTACAGGGTACAACATGTATGTCGGATCCTATTCGTCAGTGACACGGAGTTCAGGTTTTTACCTTTAGGAATTAATGTCTTTCCGTTAACGTCTATGTTCTATTTCCGTTTCATTTTCCGCATTGTTGCTCTTAAGTATTAATATCCATATGTCTGCAAGAATATCAGAAATAGAAACTGTTTGGAATCATATACAAAAAGAATGTAGAAAACTGTAATAAAAAACGTGTCAGACTATGTAAGCTATTCTCGTTTGGGACCAATTAGCAGTTCTTTCACACACCTAAGCATCAACACCAAAGAAGATAAAATCCTCATTATTTACACGTTGTTCCTTAAAATGCATTCCTCCTGGCGTGTCCACACACCGTCTCTGACAATACTAATATACAAAACAATGGCCTATTGACGTGGTTCATATTTCGCATACATCAGGCGTAGGAGTCACTGACTGCGTCTCAGCTCCTGGAGGTTTGCGCAGCAGAGGTGGAGCCTAAACTGTTGTAATCCTCATCAAACACAGAATCAGAGCTAATCCTTAACCAGCTTCCTAGCATCGCTGTCTGGATTCAGAAGTGGTTGGGCATACAAAGACTTCTCAAATAACCAAATAAACCAGCTAGAGTCTTCGTTCAACAACCATTTCTCTCGTTTTCCGAATTAGCGCAATTTTATTACAAACAGGGGTTGATAATTTGGCTGCTGTCTCCTGAAACGCAGTGTACCCCAGGCGTCCCTGTCTCCAGACCGCTGCCAAAGAGGAAGTGGTGGCCCACTCACCCCAAGGGAAAGTTACCGCTTAAGAGGTTAAGCCGCTGAACATAGGTTTTTTGGCGATCAAAGATGACTAGCATTTGTCTTCTGCTTCCATAGCCCTCATGACGTGCTTGGGGAGCTCTGGACTATAAGATCGGACAATGCTGTAACAGTATACACCAAAACACACGTCGGAATTATACCATCTTGTTTTTGCAGTCTTCTCGTAAGAAAATGGGACAGTACGAATCATCTCACTCGGACTATTCAGAACTCCTTGCTCTGAAACAAGGAGTACAGATGTGGCCCAGCTGGCACCGAAGTTTAGCCTCAAGGAGGTCTCCAAGAGCCGCCAACAGAGGAATATTTCGTGGAGAGTTTATTCTGTTGAGATCCTCACCCCCTGGTACTTGTGCAGGCAGGGACGGACGCAGGAAAGGCAGCCCTCAAAACGGTTATCTTTATGCGCAGAGGAACCGTGAGTACAGATGTGGTTATGTTTTCCTTGAATGTCATTTGTATTCCATCTTACCATTCTAATGACGAATATTTCAGGACATTTCTTTAGATATGGAAGTTTGTTCCTCAGTACATTACATGACATCCAGTAAACAGTATATTGGCAACACCCCTTAACTGTCTTGCTTGATGGGAGCAGTGGGCGTGCCTGTCAAGGGCTAAATGATTCTGTGCTCTGAATTTGAATACAAAACACATTGATAAGGAAATTTTGAATACAATATTACTTCTCTTAGATCTAGTTTTGGGGATACATGTCTATGTGTAAACACCCATTCACACCCAGGAGAACAGACACCACGCACGTCAGGTTAACTTCGGGTTGCAGTGTGGAATATAGTTAATGTGCTGGGTTTACCCTGAAGCCTCGCAGACTACACTACTGTGTACAGTGTAGTGGTAGGAGTAGTGCTCTCAGAAGATATCCATACCATTACATAACTTGATGTTATCAGTATATACACAGCGTCAACAGTTATGTTTGACATAGATAGTTTTTGAAACGAAAGAAAACATTAACACATTTTAATGTAAGATCGCATATTTCTTTATGTACAACTTTCATTAATATATGTTACCTCACTACAGAGAGAATCTTGTGCATAACGTATACTAGTTTGACCATGATGTTTTTAAACAAACCTTTTGTTTTTATCTTTATAAAACGATAATGGCTTTATTACTATGTGACAAACACATGTTATTGTGCCTGGTACCACGGTCCTTCATCTGAAGAGGCTGACGCCCATCAACATGTATTTAAACTGATGCAACGTCTATTCAGTGCATTCGAGACAGTCCTGTCGACTTTTGTGTGAGAAACAAGTGACAGTGTTAGCTTTGTGAATAAGTCAAATTGTCTGCCTACTCTCGGTGTCTATGATCTGTGTTTAGAGTTAATATCTCCGGTGTTGAATCCCTGCTAAGTGAGCGAGGGTTGCAATGGGAAGTGCCGACTTCAAGCGATATGTTACAGAGCTAAAGTAAAATGTCCTAAAGCGGACAGACAAATGGTGTTGTCGTGATCGTGCCAAGATACAGTGCGTAACCCGCCGCCACTCCTCTCTTAATACAGACTCAGCTGTACCGATGTGGCGCACGCACGGTGTGCCTTGAAAGTCTTAAATGTTAGAAATCATGGACGTCATAACGCACTGAAGGTATTCGTTCCGTCAAGAGGCGTTTTAAGTGGTTAATTGATCTCCACAACTTAAAGTTTGTCATTTTTGTTGTTGAAGGCAGCATAAAAGATCTTAACATAGAGCCAGTCTCTGATGTAACCTCTGAGTTTTGACAGTAAGAATTCCCCCGAAAATTAGTTTTTGTCATAATGGATCAATGAGGTATTTTGATTTGGTAACTTTCCTGTTCTACACAAATACACAGAAGAAAATATTTGGTGTAATTCCCTTCACATTCCACATTGTGAATAAATCACATTCATTAGAAAGGAAAACCAACTTCTGAAAAGAAGAAAGTGTTAGGCAAGGATTACAATATTGGGAACAATACAGCATTTGACATGACACAACATCGTTACAAAGAATAACACCATCCATTTGATTCTTAAATCTGCATAATTATATGACTTAAAGAGACATGCATTTGATTTTGCTTCTTAAGCCTGTTGGAGAAAATCGGGTTTTTTTTGTTTGAAATAGATTGCTGGAATGGTGAAAGAGCTTTGGTGTTTCATGTTAAGGAATATTATATACTTGTGAAGTATGTTTTGCAGACACCCAGAATTCTGGAATTAAGCGGATAACCCGTGTAACTTCATGTTATGTATCATGCCTTGGTGCATTAGTCAGGTTTCCGTTATACTGGATATTGTTACAAGTAGGCGTCTTGACGATTGCTCCTTAATTATTTGATGTTTGGCAGTTTCGGTGTTCTTGCAGTGCCCTGTTGACACCTTATCTTTTGGAGGACCTATATAGAATAACTTAAAGCCTTCATGCCTGTTTAGTTGAGCCATTCTTAGGTGAAAAGAAAGTGAATTTCACAGCACTTAAAGAAGTGAGAACTGTAATTGCCAAATGAGGAATGGTAACCCAGTCTGTTCCTTGATAGGTTTTTAAAACGACATCTTCAATGAAGTTACCTATGCGAATAAAATCACCT